TACCATCGAACAAAGATGTACTATCTTTCCAAAATGTATCTTTTTAAAACTTACTGTTAAAAGGAATTTTAAAATTCGAACATATCTTTATTAGTCACTTCTTTCACTTATATCAACACTGTTTTGTATAAATTTTGTATTTTTTTGTTTTCAAAAAAGAACTTCATAACCTATACATGTACATGTACCTCAGAGCAGTGCAGTGCATGCTGACCAAGAAAGTAAGTTTTTTTTTTTACAAACAAACAACAACAAAAAACAATTTCTACAGCTCAGGAAACACAAACCAGACACAAATGCAATCACATTTGAGGCTGCTCACAGACTTAGCAATCATGAGCTCAGAAAGATTACACATATATTGTGTCACTGTCTTCAAGTCTCCTGAGTTTGATGCAAAAATATCCCAGATGTAATGATTTGTATGGCAGACGAACAGAAAACTGACATTTCAATGTTATCTTAGATCATACAATTTCCAGATTTCTGATCAAATCAGAACAAAGCTCTAAAACTTTAGGATCGATGGGAAACTGCTTCTCGAAGAGTGCCTGACTGATCAAGATCTTAGTGTAATACACACTGATGGTTTGAAATTTTTTGAAATTTTTAAAAAAAATAAAAATATATCATTTAATATTAATAATTATAAAAATTACTGCTCATCACACAACAGTTGCACCGAAATGTACTCTTGGAATTGACATATTATGCACATAACTCCATTGGTTAATTTCAGGGTCATAGACCTCAACACTGGACAAGAACTGTCCATTGAAACCACCAATGGCAAAAATTCTTCCCTTCATTGCCGCAACGCTAACAGCTGAACGCTGCTCATTTAGTGGACATGCTGAAGTCCAAGAATTTGTCTGAGGATCATAGACATCAACATCGGAAAGATATTTATTTCCATCAAATCCTCCAATGACATACAGAAGGCCTCCAAGGGACGCTACACCAGCTACAGATCTTGCTTTATCTGTTGAATATTTGAGAAAAATGTAAATGACTAACTTACATGTATTGTAATGATTCATATGAAAGTGATTACATGCATATAAAACATCATACAATTGAACTAAGGAATAAACTTTAAGATTTAATTGTGAGACATTATCACAGTTATGAACACAGCTTTTGCAGTTAGGAGCCTGAAGAAAATTCAGGTTTGAACAGAATTCAACCCATGACCTTGGTTTGCAACACCAGTGTAGTCCTCTACCCCATGGATTGAGCTATTGCACTACATTGACTGGGAACTGGTCATGTAATGATTTAATTCAGGGCAGCACTGTTGCCAGAAAAAAATTATGACTGAGATGATGTCCATGAAGAAATTATGACTGAGGCTATGTCTATGGTTAAAATCTCGTCCTAGGTATTTAGAGCGTTCATGATGACTATAAACAACAAAAACAACAACAACAACAAAAAGGCTGAGGCAAGTGCCTCAGTTTGCCTGTTATTTCATGTAGCTACAACCCTGCACTTGTAAGCTAATTAGACGTACAATGTACATGTAGTGTCCCTCTTGAAAAATTATATTGTACTGGAATTTTAAACCCAGTGTCATTTTCAGACTTGCATACAAGGTTAGGGCTTGGACTCCAGAGGGAAGGGGTGGGTGGGAGATTATAAACATGGGGACCTGGATCGGAAAAGAACATAATTACGACTGTTAAAAATTATGAATCTGTAACTGCATCATTCACTCTAGGTATTAGTATTGCAAGTAGCATAACGCAGCTGTATTAGAATTGTAAATGATGCAAAGTAGTAGCATGCGTAGCTGGCGGTATTTATGTGCACAGAGTAAAGTTTTGGTGGCAGAGTTGCCAATCACAAGGTATTTCGAAGTCTTCCTTACCTCTTTATTCCGTGCTCTTACAATAATGCCACAAAACTTTATTCTGCGCAACTACAATGCAACAAGCTACACAGGCTAGTAAAGTAGCTGTGTTAGTATCGTGAATAGTCTAAACTACTTGTAGCTGTATTAGTACCATTAAATAGTGTAAATTATTATATCTCTCAGTTAGCATGTGCGCTGTGATTGGTCAATTTAGTGGGCCGTATTCTACTGTACAGCCCGCTAAAATTCAAAGCTGTTTTTGTTGCCAAATTTTTTCGTGATCCACCAGCAAGTGTTCTTAACTTTTAGAGCAATTAAAAGTTTAAAACTTTCTTTTACTTTAAATTGTGTATTGAAGTCTGCTGATGACTAAACAACAATTTCAAATTGCCTCGTTTTGCTTTCGATGTGCGTCAGAAATCTGAAGCCGTTCCAAGTGAATGGCTGGTTTGCAGTGTCACACCATCAAAAATTGCAACCATTCAATAATTATTAAGTCAAGAAGCTGGGATATGAAATATGGTTGACAGATAAACAACCTTGCTAAGATTTAGGTCTGTACAGTTTTTAATTTGCACGTTATTTGGAAAAGTGTTCCACTCAAATTTATAGAGTTTGGATGGAGTTGCCATACAAAGGTCTACAGCAGGAGCATTTGTGGTAACTTTTAGGGTATTGAGCTGAATAAAACATGACGGGAGGTAATGTGTTGATTTAGAATTGGTATCTCGTGGGGGTTAAAAAATTCAAGTCCTGCCCACAAAACAGGATCTCGGTACCTCTTAGGGATTCATTTTAAAGTTTCCGACGAGTACCCCAGTCCTTTTATAGGGGAGTCCCCCCCCCCCAATGGGGTACGTGTATCACTAAAGTTCATGTTGTAAACAAATGAATGGTCTTACCCAATGAGGCCACGTAACTCCATTCATCTGTCTGAGGGTCATAACATTCCACACTACTCAGTCGTGAGAGACCATCATGTCCTCCCACTGCATACAGCAATCCACCTAATGCTCCAACAGCTAAATACATTCTTGGACTCAACATGGGCGCAACAAACGTCCATTGCTGTTCGTATGGATCAAAGCATTCAACACTCTTTAGTCGACGATGACTGTTGGAGCCTCCAAGAGCATAGAGCTTACCACCAAGGCTAGTTGCACCAAAATATTTTCTTGACACTTGCATTGGTGGTCGTATCATCCATGCATTTTCTTCAGGGTCATAAGTCTCAACGGTACTTAAGTATCTCCCACTTTCAAATCCCCCGAGACAATAGATTTGTCCATGAAGTTGAGTAACTGCAATGCCATAACGCAATGTCGGCATGTCCTCAATGGGCAACCATTCATCAGTGTATAAATTGTATCTTTCTCCAGATGCCACAGGACTTCCAAGATGGAGACCACCAATAGCAACAAGGATGTCAGCAAACCCTGAATGAATTCGTGGCCTCATTCTCGTGGCTAAAGACTGTTTGCGCTTTTCAGAAGTAGGGGAGGAAGCATATGAGAGCGCCTCCTCCAGCATCTGCTTGCATTCAGGATCATTAATGAGCCATTCATTGCTAAGAACGTGTGAATTTAGGAAAGACGGCGACAGCACAGGAAGGCGAACGCAGCAGAACACTTCAGCACAGTACTTCAGGCGATCCTCAGAGCTTGATATCCACTCCATAGCAGCATCATAGACATCTTCTTCTGATCGAATACACACGTTCTCATCCGATAACAGCTGTTTGACCGCTTCTAAAGACAGATCTTTAAACTCGTCACATTTTGTCACTTGCGTGAAATGCTTCACTGCATATTTGCGAGCTTCGCTCCAAAGCTCTTCACAGGAAAAACCGCCAGCAATGGCCGCTATACCAAGACAGTTTGAGGGCTGAAGTTGTTCTTTCAGATACTGGCAACAGACATTCGTGATCTCCTTCATTTGGAAGAGATCAGACGCGCTCAGGATGTCGTCCACATTGGTTTCCGTCACATGTATGGAAGACGTGTAAACAAATCGAACAATGCATCGAAGTGCTTCGCCGGTAACCCCCTTTAAAGTAATTACTTCCTTCCCTCGTTCCTTTAATTGCCCGGTGAACATGGCCTTGAAGTAAGGACTGCCGACAGAAAGAACATTGCGGTGTGCCGATATTGATATGCCATCTTCGGTTTGTAGAGTTACATCACAAAGTTCTTCGAGATCCAACAAAGATTCCAAGCCTTTGAGAACGAGAGAAGCATTGTTGCTTGAAAGATACCGCAAAGAAGACATGATCAAACACCCTTCCTTCAGTGTCAATCTATGTTGTATCGTAAAGTATTTAAATTCGTACAATGTATGCTATCGTCAAGAGATAAACACAGTTAACCTGTACTTGGCGATTTTATCATTGAAAACAAACAAAGGAAAAAAGCCACAAGGATCTGGAGCGAGAAAACAGCGCTTGCCTTGACTTATTTTACCGCTGACACAAGAGTATAACACAAACAGTTCCATCTTGGGAAATTCACTTTCACGTGTGGAATTCACGAGCGCTGCATAGTTGTATTCGTCCTTCTTTGTTTCACACTTAATCCTGCAAAGAAACATGCCTACCACCGGTCAGCAAAGCGAAGAATTCCAGCAATTTCTTGACCAAAATCAGTATTCCAGCAATAGCATTCTGCGCTATGAGAAAATTTTTGGACGCGGGTTTGTTAGCACTGGGGGCCTCGAGACAACGCAGGTAAGCTAAGATCTTGTGCTTTCCGGAGCCAGTAATTTTACTAAGTAATTTTTTTGATTTCTTCCCTGTTTGGAATGAACCCGTCGATTTTTAATTTCTCCAGCTCACTTTAAAATATACAGACTTTAATTCCATTTTCTTGAAACTGAATATAACTTGTTTTAGATGAGAGCTCGTATAACAAAGTTTTGGAATATTTTTTTTTTTGCAGCTTACACGAAGTTAAGCTTTAAAAGATTTCTATTTGCGAGCCCTTGAGTCATCCAGATTTTTGTAACGCTACAATAGGAAAGTAGTATTAAGATGCACCAAAAAGTAGCCTTTTAGTTTTAAAGTTTACGGCACGGGAAATTTCCCAACATTAGATTGAAATGTGAATTCTCAACGGCCTATTGCGCAATTAGGGGAGAAATTGACTTTTCGTCACGTATTCGGCTTAAGTCTTTTTTGTCGAAACAAAATATTTCAGATGATCATTTCCAAATTGTGTTTCTTCTGTGTTGTGTTGGAGGAATAATTACATGACTGCTTGGTGCAATTTGACCAAAGGTCATTTATTTTCTGCCAAAGTAAAACTTGCAAGAGGAAGCAAGACCTAGCATTCTCAAGTGTTGTGCGACATTTTCACTAGCTGGTATGTTCCAATATTAAATCTTTGTCTTTTATCAACAGGAAATTGTAGCAATGCTTAGTTTAAAAAAAGGACAAAAAGTGCTTGACGTTGGTTGTGGAATTGGAGGTTCTGGATTTTACATGGTGAAGGTATGAACACCATTGACGNAACACGAGAGATGGTCTCACGTGGAGATGGGAGTGGAATACTTATTTGCCTCTGGGTGCTTGGTTAAATCTTTTTTAGCACAATGTTCAGTTAGAAACAATTTTTATTATCATTCGATACATATTTCTTCCTTTTCATTGGCAAAGAGCCCACGATGAGACTCGCAAATAACTGCGTACAAATAATTGCATAGACTTAGCGTTCATATTGCATAGCACTGTCTAAATGTGTTTTGCAGCAAATAATATTCTGCTCAATTGTAACCACGCTCTTGTGTGAACAATGGCAGATCGCTTTCCTGATCTGTCAGAGCGTGATTTAAATATGAAATCAAACTTGGTGATTGAATGATAAAGCTATTATTAACCTCGTTTATCGCAAAATATTGTGATTTGTTGGAGGACAGACATATCAAGCATCCCTGAAAAGGGTTTTTCAGCATCAATGTTAAAATAACAAATAAATAGCAGAGATAACTAGAAAAAACTAATATGTATGTGTAATATTGTTTAAAATTCCAGGTTATTTGCATTACAAAATAAAATTAATTCATCAATAAAATGTGTTTTTTTTTTAACTGTTATCCTTGTAAACTTAGGTTGTTCCATATTTTTGCACCGCAGTAATAAAAGGTGTGCTGGCCAGCAGCAATTCTGCAAGATGGAATATTAAGGCTCCCCTGAGTCAGTGTCTAATTATTTGCCTTAGCCTTTGGCTTCGGCAAATAATTGATCTGCTTGTCACTGATAAACCACAATATTTTGCTCAACCTCATCCAATAATAATGATGTACATACATGTACCACTGGGCATGTGCTCCTTCAAATCTCTATTTTGGCTGGACGTATAAATTTAATTATTACACATTGAACACACTATATTTTTTCTGATTGGCCGAAAGCAAACAGTGAATTTTTGAAATCAGCGCCTCTGATGTCATCTAGCTGCAGATTATACATTAATCATGTTAAGGACACTCAAGGTCACGGGTAATCATGCCATATATGACTGCAGTGCATGATTTCTAAGGATAAACATGTCAAGTTCATGCGCTTTGTGTTACTGTCAGTGAAGAAGCAAAAACTTGACTTCCATTTTTTTTTATTCATTCAATATATAATAAAACAATTATTGCATTCGGTTTTTGTGATATCCAGAATAATCAAGGTCTTGGAAAGGGTTATCAGCCTCAGCCTTTGGCTTTGGCTGATAACCCTTACCTCAACCTTGATTATTCTGGATATCACAAAAACCTCATCCAATAATTGTTTAGTAGATGTAATACGTTAACTAAAGCTAAGTTCTACTTTCTACACAGGTTGAATTTGTTGTTGCTGACATAACAACTGCAGACTACGAACCAGAATCTTTTGATGTCATCTATAGCAGAGACACAATTCTTCACATCGAGGACAAGGAAACCCTCTTTAAGAACTTTTTGGTAAGTTGAATTAATTATAATCTTGTATGATAATACAGAGAGGACCCTGTGTGTGCACTGATTGGTCAAAAACCCATGTTTTATCAGAGTTTAAACCATAGAAAAAGCGTGTTTTATTGTTTTTCACCTAGATCATAAAGCAAATGAAGAAACCTAAGCCCAACATTTGAGAACACTTGAGAAATGTAAAAAACACTCCTGTGGCTTGTGTTTTCTACTGTACATTTCCCTTGTGTTCTCAAATGCTCGTCGTGTTTTATCACAGTGTAATACACGGCTTAGGCTTCTTTATTTGTTAAATAAAACTGAAAAAGTTTAGGTCAAGGCACGTGGTGGGAGGCGGGGGGCAGGGGGGTGCATTTTTAAGACAGGTTGATATTTGTCGATGTGACTATGTGATTGTTCCTTGTTTATTAATTTTTTCCGGGCAGTAGTAGCCTACCTACAATCCTGGCCTAAAGTACATGTAGTTAGGACACTTGAGCTGTAGCACATATCTACCATCTCCCCTAATCAAATTATGTTTGAAAATGTCACTTTTTGTCAACAAAAAGGGAAAAAATCACCTAATTATCAACATTGTAGTGGGGAAGGGGAGAATTTGCCTGCTGTCCCAACTTCTTGACTAGGATTGTGTAATTGTAGATATGTTTGTGGATTGGTGATTTCCCTTATTTCTTCATCACTTGCTTTCAAGAATTTGGGGTGATTTTGCTGTGGAAATTGATAATCATGCCACTTTTTACAATGGTTTTTTTTGTTATAGAAATGGTTAAAACCAGAAGGGGAGCTTCTTATTTCAGACTACTGTCGTGGCCCAAAAGAACTGTCTGAAACAATGAAGGCATACATTGCCAAGCGACATTATCATCTTCTGACACCTGCTGACTATGGCAAGGTAAAAGTGGATAACTCATTATAGATATAATTTGGCAATGTATAACCAGCCAACTTGTCAAATTATATGATCTTGGGTTACATGTATCTGTAATTCAATCTCTAGAAGGGACACTGTAATGCAAAATCAGCAGAAGTTTGTGTATTAACCATTTGGAAAAGGTGTTGAGAACCTATCACAAGAATTCTAAACAAATCTGACTTCAGATTATCGGAGCAAGCCTTAGGAAACAATCAGCACTGAGCTGTTTTGTACACACCAAATGGTAAATTGGGATATCCCACACTTACTCAAATCAGCTTGGACCACATTCAACTTGTTTAACCATTATTATGATAATTTAAACTCTCAAAATATGCCACTCCTCAAAATACAAGTAATACATGTATACAGTTAATAAAAGTAGCTCAAGAAATGAGTCCAGGTGACTTCTTGAAAAGATAAATGGCATATTCTGAACTAAATCCACTTAGCCTTGTGCTTTTATGTGGTGCTTTAATCTCTACACGTACCTCAAAGGCTGGAGCAGAGCCAAAACATTGACAAAATAATAGTGAAACATTGAAACTTTCTTTTTCATTTTTGTGTTTTTCTTGTCATACAGCTTCTAGAGAAAGCTGGTTTTGTTGATGTAAAAGCAATAGATAATACCAAGAGGTTCATAGAAGTTCTCACCTCAGAGAGAGCAAGATTTGAATCGGATAAGAACACTTTCCTGAAGGTATGAAAATGACATAATTATTTTAGTCGCTCAAAGGAAGGGTAAGTCTAAAGGGATGCTTCATAAACTTTGTGAAACTGCAGAATGAAAAGTAAAGGAGCAGAGGACTCCGGATTGGGTGCTGTTGTGCCAATCAATAACTGATTAGTGAAGATTTTAAGGAAACAAGAATGCTGCAAGTTGAACATAAGGAAAGCTTGTTAAGGATTCAAGCTGACCAATTGTTTAGTTGTAACAGGGTGGCCGAGATGCTGAACTTTGAGCTACTGCATCTGCATGAGTACATGATAACAGCACCAGCTAGTGATAGGATGAAAGGCTTGAACTAAGGGACCTCCAGATTTTAACCACTTACTGTAGGCAAGCAAGACTGCCTCCCTGGGTTAAAATTCCCTTTATTTTCTATTTGTACTTTTGTCTGGGATCATTTTGTCCTACTGTCAAATACTTACTTTGTCTGTAGTAACTTAAAATTGACCAATTCATCTCTGTTAACTATTTTGTCCTGATAATCTCCACCAGAATTCGGTGCACTTGCTCACAAGGTTTACACTGCTTCTTGAATTTTAAAATTTTGTTTTACAACCTTAAAAAGCTACTTAAAAATTCTATATTTTTGTGTCTGAGTGCTTTTTTTTGGTAGTGCAGCTACATGTAGGGGCAAGGTTGTTCACAAGGGAATTTTTGCAAGGTGCAAAACAACGATGAAAAATTCAATGCAGTTACACACCAAGTTCATTCTCCTCACGGCTCTGCTGCTAAAACAAAGCACTTGTGCACAAAATGTTGCTAGCTATGCAGGCTAACCTACTCCTGGAAAACTCTAGAAATTTTAAAGCTCCATGGTTGAAATTGGGATCATAGCCCTTATGAACTGTACCATGGAATTTCTAAGGTCTGTCTAAAACTCTTGGAATTCCATAAATCTCTGACTGTGAGTGTGAACCAGTTTTGAGCATTCTGATATTAGGTTGCCTTCTTTTTTGAAACAGGATTTTAGCAAAGAGGATTTCGAATATCTTGTTGAAGATTGGGAGACAAAAATAGTGCGATGTGGCAATGGAGATCAGAAGTGGGGCCTTTTCCATGCCAAGAAATCTGCATGAAAAAAGCAATTAATATATTAACTGTCAAAGAACATTTTATAACACTTGTTGGGAATTCTACTGTTGTACTCTAAGTAGAAATTGCCACTGAATTTTAGTGATGAACTATCAATCATTTGCCTGTTATTATTTATTATTAGACAAACGCCGTACATGCTTCATGTACAAGGTCAGGAGTCCATCACTGGCAATGTAATCAGTAATTCAAAATAATCCTCAAATAAAGCAGTAGTTTATATTTTTATATGTTAAGTGTGATCAATCTTCTTTAAAAACTGTAGCAACACCAATCAAAGTGTGGCATCTACAGTAAATCTGTGAGAAGATCTTGCTATTATTGTAAAATTTTCTCTAAATTAAGTTAGTTCCATCAAGAAAATTGTTGAATATTTGATCATGTGCAACCAAACATGGTTGTAGAAGTGTCTCGTCCAACTTCAGGGGAAATTGATATTACTTGGAAAAAAAAAAAACACCAATTTAAATGCATGCTTTGTTTTATTTGGATCAGCTTGTGAGTGGATAATTTGTGTGTTGATGCTGTAATCTTATTTCCACTCCGAGCGAGGTCCCAATACTTGAGACCAGCACCAAAAATGGGAACCTCTGGGGGATATGGGAGGGTTGGCCAGCATTATAGTCGCAGCAATTTCTCTCACTACCCATATTCAGAAATTCCCATCAAATCTGGATGCATGTGCACAAGTGACCCTGGACCCTGGCCCTCTTTCAATTTTTTTTTTTAACTTGCCAAAAAGTTGCAAGCCCCTGAGGCTAAAATTAAGGGTGTTTTTAATGGGTTATATTGTTGTAAGATAACCTTTCCATTGCAAAAATGACTTGTTGACCATTGATTTCCCATTTGTTTGATGCCATTATAACAGCATCAACTGAAAGAGGTGCCCAGTGGTAGTGTTGATCCATCTAAAAAAGGCTGAACATACCGAAAAACACTGAAAGCCACCTTAATTATTTCAGGAAATTTGAGCTCGATTTATTCAATACTTTTTGCGTGAAGCGCGTTTGAAAACCCCAGCGTGTGCAAGAGTCTTTGGGCTTTTAACTCTAAAACGAGCCCCGTGGCTTGCATTTTTGTTACAAATTAATGATCCACACGATAAGATGACCTTCTGGTCAAGTTTAGAAACCTCTGGAAGGCGTTTCTGCGCACTTTTCGAATGTGTATTGCACCATCCTGAAGGAAATGAGAGGAAATGAGATATCCAACCTTCAAACTCGGTCGTGAAACAAAATGGCGGTGTTTTGGAGCTATTTTCGAGATTTCGTCGTGGCATAGAAAATCTAGGATTTAACGGAATTCAAAAATTTTTTCGCAGAACTATTTCAAATAATAAGTAGATTCGTTCTAGCGAAAAAAACTTTTTGGGGTTAGGTGCACTTTAAGCTTATATCATACAAACTGAATCGGGTATTTTCGTATTGTTCGTAGACATGCATGTTTGTAACGTATCGAATTTGATCAATTATACATGTAAGCACCCATCCCTGTGGCAACTATTTAAGCTTACAGTAAATCAATAAGCCCTACTATGGCCTGTGTAATTGTTATTCCCCACAGCCCTTGAATAGTCGAGAAGTGTCGCTTTGTTTATGAACAGCGGGTCCACAGTGTATTTGAAAATCAAACTTACCTTGGTATAAGCTTACTTAGCTAAACTCCAGAATACCCGGCCACTTATTAGCATCTCATTGAATAAGAATAGCAACTATTGTTATATACCTCGTTCTTGAAAGCACACCGGCACATGTAAATAAAGTGGCCGGGTATTCTAAAGTTGCTCCTCGACTGGTTCCCCCAGAAAGATGAAGAAGAATTCGACGTCCCAGAACAAATGAAAACAGGCGACACATGTACATGTTAAAGTATAATATCATTCAAATACAGCATTCTTTTGATGTTCGTCCCTCTTCCAAGATACTCTCGTGCCCAGTGCTACTCGTCTAAAAATGTCGTTTAACGTTGCTCTCCTTTGTATCCGGCGGCTGCGCCCGCAGTACGAGCAGCAGTCAAACCTGAGAATGACACGAATAATAGCCTCTTTCTCCGCAGCTAACAAAAATAAAAGACAATGTTAAAGTTGCTTTGGACTCTTCTAATAGTGAAAGAATTCCGGGTTTAATTTGACGAGGAACAGCATATTTTGTTTAAAGTAACACAACTATTTTAAACACTTTGTCATGCTAGTACAAGTAAATAAATCACAGAAATTACAAAAAAATACATGACTGGAGAACAATTGGGAGAAACTAAATTCCTATACAAAGAATATTCTCTGATATCAAACATTCTAAAAAAATTAAGTGAAATTTAAAATATCAAGTGCGGCCCAAAACTAGCCTAATTAAATTGCATATTCTGTGCTATTAACCGTGCCATTGAAATGCAGTGTGCCGCGGTAACCAGCACTGTCTTTAATTACAGACTCAAATACAAGCAAATACAGTAGAACCCCGCTAACTCGAACTCTGAAGGGAAACGAAAATCTGTTCGAGTTAGCGGGGTTTCGAGTTATCGGGGTCGATTAAAATATTCAATTTTTTAGGTTAATAATTAAACGTTTATTGATTTTCAGCACTTCGGTATACAATGTAGTGCAAATTACGGATATTAAACTTATTTCAAGAAAAAACTGTAACGATAAACTGCAACGACTGTAAATGTAACTGTACGTAACGTTCTTACTGGTCCTTATTGTTCAGTGGTGATTGCATCGATCGAACCAGCCGTTGGAAGCAATGAAATCCTTAATGTCCATCTCTTTAGCATAACTGAGTGCCTTCTCCCTCAGTACCGGGCCACTAACGGGTACACCTTGCCGCCTCATCTGAACAAACCATGTATACAAAGCCCGTTCTAGGTTTTCATTTCCACATGGCTTTAATTTCTGCGTCTTCGAGCTGGTTCCTCCTTCGAAAGCCTTCACGATTTTATCCTTGCTTTTAAGCCATGTTGACAGAGTACTAGGGGAAACATCATAATCTGCGGCTACGTTTTTGTTTGCACATCCACTTTCGAGTTTCTTTATCGCTTCATACTTCTCTTTCAACGTTTTCGAAGAAATCTTTCGCTTTTTAGAAGACGACATCGTGACAAAGCGAGAGACAAAGTGGATAGTAAAACCGGAAGAACCGAGAGAACCGGAGAACCGAGCCGACCTGTCAATCAGTAAAATATTTAGCGCAGTCCAGGTATTACTTTTATAGAAGCCTTTTGCGTAGGTCACAAAAAGCTCGCTAAGAAAAAAACCCCACACACCTTTGAGTTAGAGCAAGAAATGATAAATGCTGGGTACTGTGACCTGAAAAAGAATAAGGTAGTGAAGTTTGCAAAGAATAGCCTGGGCTCTTTGAAATTCGCATCGACATTTTTGACGTAAAAGTACAGATGACGTTTTCGCACCTCTTGGTACTTTGACAACTGCATCAAGTTTCAACGCAGCGGCACTGTAATCGACACGTGCAGTCCATTTTCCCCGGGCACATTTTATTATTGGTTCGCCACATTATACACAGCCGAATATCAGCCGAACATCATGCAGCCAAGCAGTTCATTTGAAATTGATTCGCATGTGAAGGGATATCACGCTTATTTAGATGACTGGAAACCATGCCGGGGAGAAGTTCTGCAAGCAATACCAGAACCAAACAATGCTGTAGATAAATATGCGGTGTGTGTCCTAAAAGATGGTGAAGTGGTGGG